AAAAAAAAAAAAAAAAGAACCAAATCTACCTTGCCTACCACACTATCAGTGCCTACCAGAGCCTTTTACATACTGGGTATCACTGAATAAATACATGAATGAATGAAGAAATGAATGAGTCAGTCAGTCTCTGAGGGATGAGTTGCTGGCCCTGGAAAATCCAGAGACAACCTCCACATGCAGCCACCTTGTCCCTGACACTTTGCCCCAGGGGACATACCTGGGATGCTGAGGACAGTGCGTGGGTCCTGACGTTGCTTCTGCAGCTGTAGAACCCGCCTCTGTGCTTAGCAGCTCCTTGGAGGAGCCAGCGGAGCTGGTGACATGTTCGTCTTTCTTGAGCTCTGGAGACTGAGGCTCTCCTCCTGGACTTTCAGGCCCCAAAGCCAATGGGTCCTCCTTCTTAGGGTCTGAAGTCAGGGACAGTGCAGTGGAGCTTTCTTCCTCCCCAACACAGGCTTTGTCCAATGGGCTGGCAGCAAGTGTCTCCTCACCCTCAGAGTCCACAGTTACAGGGCCCGGGGGCTTAGGGGGAACTGAAGTCGGGGGCTCCAGAGCTCTTTGGGAGGGGACATAAGCCAGTTCGGGTGGGGAATCACCTTCTATTTCCAAGAGCACCTCTGCTTCTGCGGGCTCCCTTTCCCTTGTCTGTATGTCATCCTGGGGGGCGGGGAGGGCCTGAGGAGGCACTGGGTCAGCTTCCTTGACTACCTGCTCTGATGGCACCATGGGGGCCTCCTGCCTCTCCCTACTCAGAGGGGCTTGAGACGGCCCAGAACTGGCTGAGACTGAGTGTTCCTGGGAAGGTCTCCGAGGCCGCTCCTCTTCCTCCTCCTCTTCTTCACTGCTGCTCTCTCGCTCGTGTTGGTTTAACAGCTGAAGAGTCACCATCTGTTCAAAAGCCAAGAGGAAATGATCACTGAGAGGAGAAGAGCAGGCACTCCTAGTTCTTCAGTCCTTATTACCACAACTGGTCATCTAGTTTAAATGACTGCTGCTTCCTCTCATAGGAGGCTGCCCGTATCTGCCCAGATAAAAGTCATTCCAGGTAGCCACACTACTGATGAGCGGGATTGAATCATTTTTTATTCAGGACTCCACAGAAGGTACTTAAGCAACAACAGACACATTTCAACGAAACAACCGACAGCTGGCTGGCTGTACCTTGATGGTGTTCATGATGGTTCCCAGAATGGTCCTACCATTGTACGATTCCTCCAGCTCAAACTCTCCTCTCAAGGACTGGAACACCTGGTTCATGATCTTCTTGACCTGTGTGAAGAAGTGAGGAGAGTAAAGCAGTATCGAAATGTATGCGGCTGAAATCAAGTGCTTGAGGGATGCATGTAAATTCCAGACAAGGGTTTGGAAGGCTAAAGTGAAGCCCTCTTAGAACTCTACAGCAAGACACAGCTGGTCAGGAACTCAGACACTGAAGGCGGTCGCTATTGAGGGGACAATGTAAAATAATGAGCCACACTTGACGGAAGGGCTAGCGAGGATGGGTACACTGGTATGTGTACCCAAGACTGCTGAAAGCCTGTTTACCGTTGCCTCCCTCCCACCGTGGCCGGCCATCACTAGAGCTGCCCTGGGCTACCAGGATTAGTGGCTGGCCGATGCTGGCACGCTCCCCTCCCCTCTCCTGTGATTCAGAGGCACTTCCCATATCTGCCAAAACCTCAGGATAGGGCCCTTTGGGTTTGCCACCAAAGCAACAGGTTCCAAAGGGTTAATTTTTACTTAAGTCAGACAGGTGGTGGTGCGTCACTAAAGTTATAAAAAAAGCTCTCAATTCACCAAATTGGCCACACTCTTTCTAAATGTCTGATATAACATGTTTTGCTGCTTCTTCAGTTACTTCCCAGCTCACCTTCTCTGCCGGGTCAGTGGCTGCAGCTTCAACCCCAGATGTCTGGGACTTGTTTTGCTCCAAGTCCTTGATGTGCCGTTCATTTTGCTCCGTCAGGGCTGTGACTTGAGTCTGGAGGGCTAAACACTGCAAAAGCAACAGATTATGGCTGGGGGCTCGAGAACCTGGTCTATGATATAAAAGTCAGGAAAACCCAGAAGAAGGAGAACCATCCTAACCATCAAGGGTTAACCTCATGCAGCTCTGCTGGTGTCCACACCCTCCACCCCCACCCCAGGCCTGCTGACTCAGAGCACCTATTTCCTCACCACTCAATCTCAACTCACAACTTCACCTCCTCTTTCCCAGCAAGGACATTTGCCTCGTTCCTAATCAGGTCAATATAATGAAAAAATGGGGGTATAACTCTAGTCACATACTCACAGACATATGAACATTGGACACTAAACGCAACCTATTCATCTACAAGATTGCTTTCACTATCGTTGAGTCACAGATTTTCAACTGGATGCTTTAAGGAGAGAAACTGACCTCCAGCTATGGGAGCTCTCATGCCATGACCCAAAGCCATCCCTATCTCTCTTTTTCATGACAGGTGGTCCCATCACACCCAC